CGTTTAGTTGGTTCGATTAGGGAGGTCGAACTTGTGATGATCTTGTTGGTTTTCATAGTTAGGCCATTAGTAGAGTCATTTTTAATTTTTGAGTAACTTCCATCGTTGAGTAGGTTCTGGATTTTGTTGTTGTACGAATCTTTATCCATAATTACAGTGACGTTGCCTTTGTCGGCTGATAGGATGACTATATGATTTCTATATTTTTTAATTCGAGAGTTCAGAGCGTTCATTTTTGCTGATGTTGCTAATGGGTTTCTTAGCATTCTTGAGAATAGTGGCTATTTCAGCTCTCGCAACGTATGCTTGGATGTTTCCTACGCCTTTGAGGGCTACATCAACCTGAGAGATGATATCATTTACAGGGATATGTTTCGGGGTGACAGCAAAATTTATCCCTCTAGCCAGTACTGTTTTCAGATTGTCCGAAATCGGGGTGTTACTCTGATTAATGACGATTTTGTTAACGTCTAGTTTTGTTATATGAGGGACTGGGTTCTTCTTCGATAGTTGGTTGAATTTAGAAATCAGGTTAGCTTTGCATTTGACTGATAGTGAATCGGCAGAAGAAGCAGTCATGTTGTCTATGTGGTTCCAATCAGAAGGTGACATTTTTGTGTTAACGTTAAATGTGCTTGTAGGAGAGTCCCGTCTAATGTATCGAGTTCAAAATGGAGTAGCCTTATCTTCTCTGAGATTAAAGAATGGCTGGCCTTAAACAGAATCTGTTTAGAATTCGGTGAGGATACAGCAGCAGAAGTGAGTGTGAAGGCGATGGTTATTACCTTGTGGTCGCAGCATTTTTTGAGGAAGGTTAGCGTCTCGATGAGCTGTGACTTCTTGTCCCGTTGGCTGTTAAAAGCTCTAACAGATAGGTGAAAGCCCTCCCCGTAGAGGCTATCAATTCTAGATTTGTAGCTTTCGTGACTGCAAGGATCCATACTCTTTGGTGCTTTCGGTAAAGTCACGTAGGTAGACAACATAATAGGCCACATGACGTTTATCTTCTCCACTGCTCAGCTAAAGCGGCTACAGCCCGTTATTCTCCTGCATGTGCTGGAGGAGAGGGTGGTGGCACTCTGCCATAATTTGGACATCACCTGCCGAAGTTTCTCAAGGGAGAGGTTCTATTCAACATATTTTCATGCTTAGGAATGACAGGTCCCGCCATTCGCGGGGCCTCGTTAGTCCGTAATGCGATTTACCTAGTTTGTCCTCACCTGGAATTCAGAACAGAGACCTGGCCACAAACGGAGTCTGACCATATCTTATTCTGTTCTGCTTGTGCCCAGACAAGGTAAAAAGAAGTGGTGGGGTAGCTGTGCTTTCCAGTCCACTTTCATATCTGTCTCACACCCTAGTTCAAAGATTGGCTCATTTGAGAGAATGACAGTTAACTGCACCCTAGGTGAAGGTCAAAATCTTGGTTCTTTTTTATGTAGTGTCACCTTTGTCCCAGCACTATTGTGCCAACGCTATGCTGCTAAATTATTATTCTATGCCACTACACATCCAAGGCAATGGACTCCGAAAGATCTGAGCCCATCCTAAAAAACGTACGGATGCTGCTAGATTCTAGCAGGCCTTGAAGGCCCAGCTACTCACTACGTCGACAAACACGCACAGGGCTCTGACATGATCTGTTAATGGACATTGCCGGGCAATGTGTCTGAAGAACCTAAGTCTTCTGGCTCTGACCATTCCATGCACTGCCGGGCATCCCGTGCGATGGCGGACCTCGGTATTGGTGATGTGTTCACTGAAGTGGATGCGGAATATCCATCGCAGGCACCACTGGTCGAAGGCATCCAGGTTCCTGCTCAGGGACACCGTCATTGACCATGTTTCTGAGCCATACAGTAGTACGGGAAGGATGTATGCATTATATAGGCGAATATTTGTTGCTGGTGTAATACTGGATGTGTCTGCTGAGCTGTTTCATACACTCCCGTGGAATTTTAGATTTTCTACCTCACTGAGTCCAGTCTATTGCATAGTGCAGCCGAGATAGGTGGACGAGTTTGCCAATTAAACATTGTTACTCGTTATATGCACTTTAGGCAAGTTGTCTGGCTGATCATCAGTGGTATGTATTTTTGTTTTAGCCCAGTTTATTTCCAGGCCAAATGGGAGGGCTTCACTATTCATGATCTCCATGGCTAAGAGTACAACTTCAAGAATTTCAGCTCGCAAGGGAATATTATCTGCATAGTCCAGGTCGGTGAATGTCTCGTTGCCTAGGGTTACTCCCAGCAGGCCTTTGTAGACCATGCACTCAGTATTCAGTCCAGTGGGACAAGTAACAGGTTCGGGGCAATGGTGCAGCATTGCCTTACACAGCTTTCGATGCTGAACCACTCGGATAAATCTCCATCTACACGAATGCCACTGATTCTGTCTGTGTAGAACTCCTTAAGCAGATTCACAATCTTCTGCATAATTAAATTCTTGTGATGAGCAGCTAAAGAGGTTTGCAGTCAACAGAGTCAAAATCAGCGTTGAGATCTATATAGGTTACCCAGAATGGAGGCTGAAACTCTCTCCTGGTTTGTATGAGAGAGGTCAATGTTGTGATTTGGTCTATGGTGGAACGTCCTAGTGTGAAGCCACTCTGTTCCATGTGGCGCACTTCTGAAAGTGTATTTCTTATTCTTGCCAGCAGGAGAGTTGAGTGATGCCACGATAGTTCATGCACTCATGTCTACTCAGCTTACCCTTGTAGACAGGCAGAATGATGATTTTCCTCCAGTCTGCTGTAACAAGCCTTTCCTCTATGTGTGCTGGAAGGTCCTTGTTAGTCATTTGATGACAGCTGGGCCTCTAGACTTCAGCATTTCTTCCAAAATTTTGCAAATTCCGGATGCCCTGCCATTTTTTATTTTTTCTGAGAGCAGCCGTTACTTATTCCTGAGGTGGCTTGGAGAAAGAGATATTGGGATCTCCGCTTGCTGTTGCTGCAGCCTGCATAATTTCTTCAAACGGGGAAGACGGAGGATAATTCAGCAGCTTAAAATATAATTCTTACTGGTGCTGGTTAAACCACTGCAGGAAACGACACCATGCTGTGATCGCAACCTCCTGGTGGCTCTCCCCGGCTTACTGGGGTGGTTTTTGCCCTTGATCGGACAATCAATTCAGCCTTATTAGAATGACACCCTGTGAATGACATGCGGCTGATGACTATATTCAGACATACCCTTAGTGTACCTCGAGGCTGAATATTATTCCCCCCTACTGTTCCTACTGTTCAATGTGTATATTAGGCCGTTAGCTGATCTTATCCGTAGGCATCAATATGCTGATGGCACTCAGATCTACATCTCTTTTATGTCAGATACAGACGCCACAATCTCTACCCTATTAGAATGCTTGTCTAAAGTAACTGTTTGGATGGAGCAACACTGGCTGAATCTAAACTCAGGTTAGACATAGTACATTATTGTCAGCTCGGAGCAGCATTTGAGAGCGTGGCAATGCCATGCTGAACCTCCACTGATTAAGGGAGCTTTCCCTGTGTCCGAAGTAGGAAAATTCGTTGTGCAGTTGCAAACGACTTTGACTATGCGCTCTCAAGTTGCAGCTTTGGTCAGAGCAGGTTTATACCACCTCCGAACACTCCAAGGAGTGCGACCCCTTCTCCACCCCAGACCTGGAATAATTAAGTCATGCCTAAGTCATGCCTGTATTATGAGAATGCCCTCTACACAGAGGTACCACATGGTTCGGTGCAGAGGATCCATTTAGTGCACAATGCAGCTACCCGGATGATCCGGTGGGTTAACTACTTTGATCACATTACAACTACTCTGCAAAGCCGAATCTCCCTCAAATCCTGAGGCATATACACACTCCATTCCACGGGAACGGCAAGACTTGCAGAGCCCAGGATTTTGTACCTGATGCTGGGGGGACGAATCCCTCTCGAATGCATCCCCAAAAATTTGGAACACCCTTCCACCAGACATCTGAAATGTACTGGGCATCTCTAAATTCCGTTGTCTGTGCAAGACATACCTATCCAGACTTGCCTTCCCATAAAATGTAAACATTAAAATGAAAACTGCCTCTTTACCTTTCTTATGCTACTCGTTGCGCCATGGTTTCACTTTATTTAGCATACGGTTGCAATTTACTTTGCTCAGTCGGTGTTATACACTGAGGGCGTAACGGGTTTCTTTTGTAAATCTTGTTGCTGTATGCCTCCTGTACCATTCACATTCCGTTATAATGTACACTGATGCCTACTTTAAAGAGTGCGATATTGGCGTGTAAAATAAAAATTGATTGATGGAAACTAGCATCTTATGCTTGTAAGTCAGGAATTATAAGCAGTGGAAGTCATCATAATTAATGATTAAACAGGAGGTTTTTTCAACATATAGGATGCCACATAGGCATCGTATATGCTAAACAATTTAAGATATTTGTCAGAGAGACAATACTTCGAAACACAGTAGAGTATTATGTACCTCGGACAATTGAATTTGGACCAGAATAAAAATGATATTGGATGAGATCAGGTGGCAGTGCTTTTGGAAAATGTTACTTGATAATGAAAAGTTACGTGTGTGTATGTTGAACTTCTTTAACACCTCACGTGGCCAACGGTGCTAGTTGGAGGTGCCTAAAGAACGAAGTTTGTGTGTATTTATAGCTGTGACATATGATTCAGGAACGTGGACAAAACATTAAATGGGCACAAACAAGCATAAAGAGATACGTGCTTGGAATTATACTGATAAAGAACACATACACAAGTTAGGGAGATCACGTTAATAACATAAGTAAGTGGGCTGGGCTGGACAAGGTCGAGAAGGGAGGATGGTCGATGATCGAGAATAGTGGGGTGGTGACCAAGAAATGAAACGTGTCTGAGAGGACCGTTCATCAAGGATATAGAGCAATGAGTCAGCTAATATGCTAATATGAGTTACATAGCAGGACCGTGAAAGATGGTGACAGCAGTGGATCGATCACAGCTGACGATGATGATGTTTCAGTGTTCCTGCAGGTTGCAGAGTTGTACGTTGCAGCTCAGCGTTCTGGTGACATGGTCTGCATCGAGAACACACGGGTACAGGTGGTGCAGCTAGCCAACCTGCAGGCAGTGGAGGATGCCAAGGCACTCTACCAGCGGCAGATGGAAAGCAAAGAAGTCTACCTTCCCCTGAAACTATGGCAGCTCCACCAGCACCACGAGAGGTGCATGGAGCAAGCTCTGGATCTGTTCTATAGTCACGCTGTGCTCGATCGGGATCATAAGCACGAGAAGGAGTTGATGGTGAGTATGGTTGAGCTGGGTGCTGGTAGCTATGCATGCCTAGCACTGCAGAGGTAAGGTAAGGTGGCTCACACATGTTATGAAACTCCTTTACCATGGGCATCAAGGTGCAATCCTCTGGCGTATTTCTGTGCTCCCAATCTCTACTGTCCCTCTGGCACCGGCAGCCCGCATGATGGTGGATCGCACTGATTCACCGTGAAGACATCTATGTGAAAGTTCTGAGCAATTCAAAACAATATTTTAATTCAAGTTGCTGCTTGCAAAAAAAACGAACAGCATGCGGGGGCTTACAATCGCTATCGTCTATCGACCGCCGTCCAAGTTTTCTGGTCTGCTAGGCTGTGGGTCACTTGGCTCTCGCTACATCATCTGTGGAGATCTAAACCATGCCGGACTCATTGATTATTGGAGTAAAATGAACAGTGATCTCGCCGAGATTATCGACAGTCATAGTTTAACCCAGCACGTCAGTGGCGCAATATGTCCCTTGGGAAATATTCTGAATCATATCTTCACATCCACTAATGCAGTAAATGTGAGCGACATGATCGAAGACGTCGGTTTTGCAGATCACAGAGTGCAAAGGAGCATTACCGATAATTCGCCCACCCATTACAACGATATCATACAGAGACTCGAAACGACATGACCACGATACTTTTTATCAGAAGATCTGGTCATAATTGGCATGCCTAAATCCTGCATTTATGGACAATTCATTTGAAACTCAATTAAAATATGACATCACTGCTGTTCTGGAATAACTCGTGCCTATCTGAACAACCACAACGAAAATGTGGAAAGCGCGCAGTAACTGGCTGTCACTTGTGGAAATCGCTGAAAAGCAGACGTGGAGGAGGCTCGACTGTCTTTGGAAGAAAACTGGTTTCAAGACTGTCAGACTCGCTTACAAAGTGGCTTGCAGATCTGGAAAACAACTCATTATTGAATCTCCAAGATCATTCTATGATCTGCGTGTCAATGAGTCTGCTCACATCCCCCATGATCTGTGGCACTTCAGGAAAGGTCTGCTACAATCCTACCAGCCATTAACTAGTAAACCCAGTTTTTGCACAGTACTTGCGACGTTCTTCGCCAATAAAATAGTGCCGTTAGTTTAAAACTTTAAGGTATCACATTTTCCCGGTCTGCCATCTGAATTTGATCAACCTGGATCTGATGCAAAGCTTGAGATGCTGGCACCAACGTCTGATGCAAAGATTGAGATGCTGGCACTACGTCGGTGGCCGACCTGTAGTGGGTTCACGGGACACGGAGACGGTGGAGTAGAGGCAGCACTGTTTATTCAACTTAACAAGGGTTACACTGGAAGGAGTAACGGCCCCTTCACCCGTATACACGCTGGGACACCCTCTAGGCTATCTAGCCTAACTCCTGTGCTCCCAGTTCCTCCAGCTACAGGCACTAGAGGAGGCTATCTGATCTGCCCTGGTCAAGCACAGATCATGGCACCCCACCAACCAGACCGACCCTTTAAAGGGCTCCGGCTCTGAGGCTCTGGGGCCGCACCACTGGCTTACCCTGCCGGCCCTTAAAAGGACTGCGGTCAGGGAAGTCCCAGGGTCTATCTAGCCGGCCTTCCTTCTTCACTGGTTCTTCATTCTTGGCCCCAACACACTGCCCCGAGCTCTCTGGTTCCCCACCCTTTATACCCATACACCACTGAGGGTGGGGCTATAGCGGACGTGGTTGTAGCCACCAAGGTGTGGCTGTGTGTTACCTTCCCACACTGTGTTTCCTTCCCACAACACTCCTACAAATGTTAAACAAGACATCGCTGCTCAACTACATTCACACATTTATTCTCAAATCATGCAGACGTGCTTGTGCCACTGATTATTCACCTGGAAAGTATTTCGTTCAGTGAGGGCTGTTTCCCAGACCAGTTCAAAATGGCGCCAGTAACACCACTCCTGAAAAATGTCTCAAACCTGAGTAGGATTTCAAAGGTTATTGATTGCCTTTGTCTGAAGCGGTTCCCCACATCGTTGCGATGGGCAGATTTAACCCGTTACAGATAGTGTACCGTAAGTTCCACAGCACTGAGATGGCTCTAAAAAAAAATCACTGATGACCTCGACAAGTTCATGGATGACCGGTGTAACACAGTGTTGGTTAGCCTCGGTCTCGCTGCCACTTTCAATAAATCGACCATAAGATTCTCATCAGGTAGATAAGGCCAAGGTTTGGTGTATCGGGTACAACACTTGAGTGGATTGAGTCGTACCTGAATGGTCGATCACAGTTCGTCAAACTCGGTGACGAAAGTCATCACCTATGCTGTGCCTAGTCGGCATACCACAGGGTCCATTCTTGGGCCCTTCCGAATTTTAACATACGTCTCTCTGATCGCTGATGTAATCTCATCGCATGACACCAAATGCCATTAATATTCTGATGAAACACAATTGTACACCTCAGTGAAGTTAAAGTTAAATATCTATAGCCTTGTGAACATCGGAACATCTGCTGGTTAGCATTCAAGCTAAGGTGAAAACATTTGTGGAAGGATCAGGTGTGGCAGTCGCAGACTCCACAATTCAGATTTGTACCCTTCTAAAGAGCCTCGGCACCAAACTCGACCGGAATATGTCATTTGTATACCACGTGCAAACTATAGTCAGGTCCGGCAATTTTCATATCAGAGCTCTACGACACATCGGACCACTAATGATTAATGACATCAACACGATGGCATGTAGTATAGTATCAAAAAGGTTCGATCTTTGCAACTGACTACTCTAAAGTGATTGTCACAAATTAACCACATTATCTTGCTGATCTCCTCAATGAGCTTAAACTGTCACGCAAACTCCAGTCATCCTCTCAGCAATTTTTGAATAGCCATAAAAAGTGGTCACTTTATTGTGCGCTTTCATATTTTGGTACTGGCAAAGTAGATCCCATGATGTAGATGCTCACCCGAGGTCTCATTACTCTGATAGTGGATTGTCTTTGGACTGTACGCCTTTTGGCGTCCTCTGGTCTAACACCGTTTGAGACGAGGCTCAAAAGAAAGCTGTCTCTGGTGTGGACCAATCAGTTTCAAGGACAATGCATATATTATCAGTGTGTTTTTTGTTTGCATTCTGACCACAAGTGTTGTGGTTAATGCAGACATGATTCCTTGTGTAGTGCCAATGTGACAGGCTATACTTTTCACTCCTATCTATTTTCATATTGATTGTTGTTCTAACTTTATGACTCACCCCTACTGGACATCTCTGAAAAAGAGCTTCAATGCTCTTCGGATTCTTCCAGTCTAAATACAAATTCTGATTCGGATTCTGAGTGGATGGGAAAGTAAGTGAATTCGTGGGTGAGTGAGCGAGTTAATTGGTAGATAGTAGGTGACTGGGTGATTAAAAGGCTGAGTGCAATTTGTCAGGGGGCTCTCGTTTTATTTCTTTCTCATTCGGCCCATGTTTACTACGCTACACTACTGCAACAGCCCAGGATCATCATCACTGCCAATGCGTGTTCTTATTATTACAGGAGCACATGGAGACGACATATCTGAAGCTGGTGAAACAGAACAAGCAGCGATCACAGGAAAAGTGCAGAATACGACTCACAGAACTGTATGGGCTCGTGGATGAGAGGTACCAGGACTTCATGCAGCCCGGAGGCTTCATGAAATATGAGGCTATGATGAAGAAGATTGAAGTGGATTACCATGACACCACAGGGCTTGGAGACGAGGTAACGTACCACAACAACAATATATAATGCACCGATAATTAAATGATTGTCCCAGAGTGCAGAATTACTAATGAGGAAATTAGAGGGACCCACCAAAGAAAGCAAAGAAATTAAGCAATGCTTGTAAATGCACTCAATAAATCATAGCTGGTCTGGTGGCTCAGCAGAAAAGTAAATAACTCTCAAACAAATCCTGTTTGGTGGCTGTCTTATTCCATCATCCCTCCGGGCTCAATAAAATGAGCATCACATTGTGGAGAAGTCAATAGTGGTTTTCGAACTAATATACTTGAGTCTTCAGAGAAATGTGTAATTAAAACCACTTACTCGGGGTTGTAAACAGAAGATGAGCGCTGCCTTAATGTTCATTTAAGTAGAACATTACTTTGTTTTTGTTACTTTGTTGAAATGTGGCCATATCTTAGCAATGAGAATGGTTGGAAAATGTTCTGATTCCCAAGTATAGCAATGCTACAGGCCTTGCTCTGGTCGGGCACTTTAAGTCAAAGATTGCCAAACTCTTTAGCCTACAAACTTATGGAGAACACAAAAGGACCCCTCACAAAAAAAAAACATCAAGCGAGAGATCTATCTTCAATTGCACCAGACATTGGCTTACATTTATTGACAAGACCACACCGCCATCAGTACAGAGTGAGTGAGGGAGGGTCTGGATGCAATGAAGAAAGGCAAGGCTGCCGAAACAGATGGTGTCTCCCTAGAATCTGTCCATTACTTTTGCCCTAGGGGACTCCAATGGTTGTCAAAACTATACACAAAAACATGACAGCCGGATGCATCTTGAAAGCATGACGGGAAGCTATATTCATTACCATTCCCAAACGAAACGGGGCAAGCCAACTGATGACCAAGGACGTTATAGGCTGATGTCACTCTTGTGCACAACCTATAAAATCTGGAATGCAACATCCTCCAGAGAATCCACCCGCTTGTGGAGTCAGTTATCCCTGAAGAACAAGCAGGATTCTGCCCTTGATGCAGCTTCTGTGACCAAGTTTTGGCCCTTGCGAATCACATCGGATTCCACATTCTAGAATAAATCCAAGACCGGCACAGCATTTGTGGAATTGTCATTGGCCTACGGCACAGTCTTTTTTAAGGGATTGATGTTCAAGCTTGCAGGGGCCATTTCTTTCCTCCAAACAATACGCCTGATATGGATGATGCTAATCAATAAGCAACTGTGTGTCTATATGTGCAACAAAGCCAGCTCACACCGGTACCTCAACCATGGATTGCCACAAGGTTAGGTACTTACGCGGACACTTTTGAATGTCTATACGAGTGACGTACCATCAACCGGGTCACGCAAATGTCTATATGCGGATGACCTTGCCCTGGCAGCCACTTTCAATGACATCGATTCTACTCTGGACCAAGATCTAAACACCATCGGGGGATTTTTTTCTGAAATGGAGGCTCAAGCCAAATCCCTAGAAAACAACAGTCACTGCATTTCATCTTGATAATAGGAGTGCCAAACACAATCTGAAAGCGACCTTCTGTGGCAAAAATGTGCGACACGACCCCACAGCATTCTATCTCAGAGACCATACGCTAACCTTCCACGACTATCTGAAAATGTGTACAAGACCAAAACAAGGGTCAAGATGATCCATAAACTAGCAAGCATAAGCGGGGGAGCATCAGCACCAGTGCTATGGACATCAATGATGGCCCTTGTGTGCTCTGTAGCAAAATACTCTTCCCCAGTATAGACCAGAAGTAGTCACACTCGACTTGTTGATGTTGAACTTAACACTGCAATGCAGTGTATCACTGAAATCCTCATGTTGACCCCAACACACTGGCTGCCTGTACTGTCACACATCTTTCCCCCACATTACTGCTGCAATGCTGTAACCCTCCAATAAGTCCTGCGAATAGAGGAAAACAGTCGTCTTCCCATTCGGCAGGACCTTAATAAAACCCCTCGTCACTGCTTGAAGCTACGCAAGCCCTTTTGGACCCATGCACTTAACCATCAACAATGCTCTCCATACTTCATCGGAGTTCAACCCCTATGAAGTATGGAGAGCTGTGGTGGAGTTAATAAATAGACTGTGTCACTGTGTACATGGTCAGTTGTGTAGCAGCAGTAGGAGCAACCAATAAATACCAGCAGCAGATGATTGATGGAACCTTGTGTTTAAGTAGTAAAAATGCTGGACCTTCACTTTTTACACCTTTGCAGATGGCAACGATGTACAAGGAATTTCTGGAGCAGAAGAAGGATAGTGGTAAGGCTATCCAAATGGTGGACAACACGTTGACCAGGGTTCAACAGCAGGAAATTGGTAAGATAAGACCCTTTTATTCCTCCATCACAAATAGCCATGGGCATCAGGTTAATCCAGGAGGTCAGCGATGTCTATTCACCCAGTAACAAAGAAAAACGCACGCATATACATGGATAATGTCGTGCCTTTCAATGTCTTGTCTTCCGAAATATTCAATCAGCGATAATAACGGTAGTCTGATTGGGTACGCAAGAAGGCTGCGATAAGACAATGAGTAGCTTAGCAGCTGTGCTTGTAGGGCACGCAGGCCTTTAAGCATTGGCTTTATCTCAAGTTTTAGGTACATCCTTGATACATTTTTATAGCATAAGCTCCTAATATTAACATAACTTTAAATGAATGTTGGATTAATATCGAATTGTTTATAAGAGTTATCATGCCCCCACCACCCCATTATAAAAGTGTAGCGTCATCCCAGATAGTGATGAGCCGATCTCGTGACGACCACACACCTCATTCTCACATGCTCCCAGAGTCGCTCTTGCGGTTTTAAATATATATTAAGACTTTCGATTTAAAGCTTTCATGACTGCAAGGATTCATTTTCTTTGGTTCTTTCGGTAAAGTCACGTAGAATGAGAATAAAATAATACATTGATAAAATAAAATAACACGATAAAATTCTCACGACGAATACATTACCAGTGAACTCAAGCACGTACACCAGGCTCTCAGGGCTAATGGTTACTCCGACTACACAAACCTCAAAGCCATCACTCCAGTCATGAAGAAGGATCCTCTTATGGAGCCACTCAAAACCATCACCTTACCCTACATTGCAGGGGTCACTAAAAAGATCTCCAAAATCCTGAAAAAACACAAGATCCAGGTCCGATTCAACACAGTGATCTGGTTCCATCTGTAAAAGATGCTGTTCCAGACATACAGTACCCGGGCGTTTACAAACTAAAGTGCCTCTGTGGTAGTAGCTACATTGGAGAAACCAAACGACATATCTCGGACCGTATCCACGAACATAAAGCAGACTTGAAACACGGTAGAACGAACTCCTCTGCCGTGGCAGATCACTGCTATAATTCAGTGGGCTCACATGACATTGACTTCTCCAAGACGGAGGTTCTTTGCAAACCAGCCGGCTACCATGAGAGATTCGTTCATGAGGCCATTCACATATACAAGCACAGAGACAATTTCAACCGAGAAGATGGATTCTGGCTTAGTAACCATTGGAAAGATGTTTTAAACCATTTCCGTTCTTAATTAATTGTATTTCACGATGACCTTCAGACCGCAGCTCTTTCGCTGGCATTGACTCTTAATACCTCTCACACCACGGTTAATGGTATGGTTTACAACATGGAGTATAACAGCGCCTCGCAGCTGTCTCTCTCCCCCTCCTCCGTTCCGACCATGGATGAACTCGTCCGCCTGAACGGGGCCCGTAGCTATCCGTGGTGCTAAAGTTGAGGGTAAGAATCCACCCATTTTTTCGCCATATAGCATTGTGATATATAACGACTTATTGTTGGTAGCTTAGCTGATTGGAGAATATATAGAGTTTATTGATAACATTGAGGTAATTTATATTTTAGTTTTTTATTGGTTCACTATATAGTATTCATTATATAGTGTAGTGTATACCCAGTTACTGTGAATAGCTCAGATTGTAGGCTTTGACTACAACATAGCCATTTCTGTGACCAGTCACAAGCTAATCACTCAGTTATTTCAATGCTAAATTCTCCTAGTTATTTAAATGCTAAATTCTCCTGTTTGATTTGTACTAGGTGCCTCTATGAATGTGTATGCTCTGACTTTAACGTAGCTATTTCTGTGACCAGTCACAAGCTAATCACTCAGCTATTTCAATGCTAAATTCTATGCTAATTCCTTTGTCAAGGGGTGCCTCTGTGGATGTGTATGCTTTGACTTTAACATAGCCATTTCTGTGACCAGTCACAAGCTAATCACTCAGCTATTTCAATGCTAAATTCTATGCTAATTCCTTTGTCAAGGCGCTTTGTTTCTTCTCACACAGCTTAAAGGTCGCGATCTGAGCGTGGCTTTGTTCGCTCCAGCGCTGTCCTCCAGACAGTCTCGTCCCTTCACCTGATGAAGGCCGCTTGTGTTGTGGCCGAAACGTCGTGAGAATTTTATTGCGTTATTTTATTTTATCAATTTATTATTTTATTCTCATTCTACGTGACTTTACCGAAAGAACCAAAGAAGATGTATTAAGACTTCCACGTAACTTCTAACACAACATGGGATTGGAGGGATTTGTAGGGATTCCCTCTCATAATTGATATCCTATACTGCCTCAGACTCAGGCACACTCAGTGCCCCCGCTGACTTGAGGACACACAGTGCAAAAATTTTACACTACTAATTACATCGTTTTGGATATGGTCTTGTAACCCAACGTCTTCTCCCACTCGGTTGCACACATCAACACAGGTCTGCTCTCCAGGGGCATTGTCAACTTGCGTCATCTCTCTTCCTAATGGTCCTGCACATGCCGTCATATACTCTCATGGGATTGCTTGGTTGTCAGAGCCAGACTTAATTAATAAAACGTTCAAATTTGACTTATGAGAGCCCAGCAGTGTGACTAGGCAAAAAGTATGTTGGGAGGCCATTCAATCGTATGTTGGATGTTCCAAAACAGATTATCGAAATCCTTGCGGAAAAACCTCTGTGAACTGGCACCTCATGCCGACCTTTTTCGGCCTCAATCAACAGCCTGGCTCCACACCTTATTATACTCTACATTATGTGGACCACTACTAATGAGCAGACAAACATCGCTGATTAAAAAACGCTTTCAACATTAGAAAGCATTAACATCGGGCGGAGGTGTGTAAATAAATATCGTTTAATTATTTTCCAGAGAACAAGCAGAAGGAAAAGATAATGGCACTGCAGATGAAAACCATGAAAGAGGAACAAGACAACCAGAAGATGGAGATTTTATTCCTTAAGAATCAGTGCAAGGTGATTATACCAGGTTTTACACGTCACTTTAGTGGGGCTGATGGTAATGCCCCACCCCTTAGTAGCATGCTCGAGTTTCAGTAAGTGAGGTTCCAAACCATATTTTTAGTAAGCTGAAATCACCAGATCCTCTGCATATATATCAGGGTTGACCAATATTGAATCCCCCTACCAAAGCCGGGCATCGCTCAGCCACCCATTGTATGTGTATCAGATGAGAATTCATCCAGTAAAGCTACAGAAACCATCTCGAAATACATGGATTATTTTATTTATTTATTATGCAGGAGCCAGAGGATATCCCCGTCGCACCCCAAGGTGAACAGGGAATCCAAACTTTTTGGTTCTTTCTGTAAAGTCACGTATGCAGAAAAAAAATAATAGTGATCTATTATTTTTTATACCTACGTGACTTTACCGAAAGAACCAAAGTGTATGCATTCCTGCAGTCACGAAAGCTTCAGATTAAGATTGAACAGGGAATGGCTGTGGCTCTCAGCCACGTAGCTTTACCTGGGCATACCTACCATCATGAAGGTCCTGAATAATTGTTACTAGAAAGTCTGGTACTCCAAAAGCACGAAGAATAACCCAAAGCCCTGACCTATTCATGGTATTTTAGGCCTCGACCAGGTCAATCAGCAGAGCTGTTGGTCCTGACAGAACATGGTTTCTATGCAATGCCATCCTGGCCAGATAACACATTGGGGCTCTGCAAGCCTCTCCTCAGCGTGCCTGGAAAGGCGATGTTGAATTATCGTTTCAATCTCACGGAACCCATCCAGTAGTCCAAAATGTAGTTGTTATAATGTCATATATGACAGTCTGCATACAAATGCCACTCTCCCGCAGCAGTTCTTTGGGAGATCGACTCTGACCAGAGCTTTTCCTGTTCACAGACACTGGATCACATTTCCTACTTCCTCAATAGATGGCCCCTCAGCAATTCACTCAGAGGAGGTGACTACTTCCAATATTTGATAAATCGCAGTTCCATCATCCACACTTTTCCCATGATGTTGTCTGGGATGAGGGATTTCCCCTCCACCAAGACTTGAGAGAAATGCTCAGCAAACCTGAAAACCTGTTCCTGGGGTCAGAGATGGGTTCACCACCCTTTCCCCTCAGAATCGGAATAGATGTGGTGCTGCAAGTAACTTTTTGATGGAATTAAATAGTGATTTGTGATTGCGGGCTACTGAGGCGGATTCAAGTGGTCGATGCAGCAAACCGCATCGACCACTTATCCTTGCAGCACTGCATGGCTTTCTAAAACTTTGGCATAGGATGTTGTAAACAATGGGAGTGCGTCTGTCACTTTTTCTCAGCTAGCTGCAACATCTCCTCCTTATCCTAGTTAACTAAGGAGGTCTGGACCACGTATTCAATGCAGCCATGACAGATGCATGATCCACAGTACTGAAACAGAACAAATTCCCCTCAGCATCCCCAGCTGCAAGCAATGATGACATTCTAACTTACAATTTTCCATCAGCCACTGTGTATCTTAATGGGGTCTTAGGCGGACATCCACCACCATAGAATGTTAGGCACATTTTACAGATAATAAGCCGATGGTCAGGAGGCAGACCAGCTCCATAGTATGAAATGGGCATGCATCTGCTGTTGTCACCAGCAAATGTTCTTGCTTGAACAAGGCATGCATCCATGTTGTGTGGGATCCACCGATGCTGGAACAGTGTAGTGGTTATTACAAGCACATGGGTCCGCACAGAAGTCTGGCAGCCTTCTACCATTATCATTGAGCTGATCTGGTCCATGCTTTCCAACTACTCCAAGCCCGGTGCCAGTGTCATGATCCATTGAGGCATTAAAGTCACTCGATGAGATGACTTTATCCCGAGGTGCCACTTTAGCTAGCACCTGTGATAGGAGCTCATAGATGGCATCTGACGCATCGGCCTTGCCTACATCCTGTGACAGGAGCTCTTTGATTGCATCTGATTCATCGGCCTTGCCTGCATCACTCTCCCGATGTTCATCTTCGGTGGGTGCATAAGCTACCACAACCACCACCATTCCTTACCTTCCATTGATTGGGGGTGAGCCTACATCAGCCTGGGACTTACAGCTTCCCACACCTCACTGACATGCTCCCAAACTCCCTTCATTATTTTGCTTAGAAGAGGAGCCGCTCCCTGTTGTCTGGAAGATTCCTGCTATGAGTAGAGGACTATCCACCTATAGTAATAGGTTTTACCCTTTTAACTGGCACAAAAACTGACACCTTTATTCAAGGCATCATGTTTGCAATAACCACAACACAAGCAGTCAAAATGCAAACAAAAGAGACAACTCTGATAGTAATATGCACTGTCCTTGAATTTGATTGGTCCACACCCGAGACGGCTTTTCTTAGAGCCTAGTCTCCACCTGTTACTGTGACTGAGCCAGTACAAGTCCACCGGACCTCCTGAATACCACAGAGATCAAGGTGGAACCAGTCCAGCTCCCAACAGCCCCTCGCACCCATCCAGAGCCCCCACTGGCTGCTGTGGTGGCTATGAGTGCCATGAGGGGAACAGTCTTCCTCCTCACACTTGTTAAGAGTCTCATTGCACGACTAATTCCAACAGTCCTTTAAATGGCCAAAAGACCAGCCAGAGACAGCCCACTCATAAACTATAAAATCAATGCATATGACGTTATTTTCACCATCAACCATCTAAAATAGGGCCTCTGCCACTTACATCACGCAAGCCCTTACATATTATGAGGTGACAGAAAGAGTCATCCTCAACAAAACATCGGCCAACACCATCAGAAGAGGCCAGGTTTCAGACACCAACATGTCCAAACCGCTAAAGGGTCTTTGGCCAACTCCAGTGATTCCTATGGCAGACTATCCAATGGTATATGTGGGTGACTTTCTACAATGGGGCTACTCACAAACATTAAAGCAGGAAATCAACTCACGGACTGATCATCCATAAACGATCTGCTTTTGCTTTTGGACCATACATAGAGAGGTATTTTCCACTCTGCTCGATGGAAATGGGAGTACAACCCAGGCCTCTACCTTTGTTTTCAACAATTACCATAGCCTCCCACTCACCACAATGAGGAAAATCCTAGGACCGTTCCCCAGAAGCCATCACTGAGCAGCATTTTTCTACACGAGGGAGTCAAATTCTGATGATCAAATCCAAACCAGTTGTGCGCTTTAACTTCTGGAAGACTAACTAGTCAGGATTCCCAGTCGAAAAATAAATTACGCCACAAACCATCGATCCAGTGCCAAATAACTTCAACATTTTTGCAGCTGCCATCATCTGAGCAGTGAGCAACAAAATCACCAGACAATCCACGTCAAAACCTGGAAAACAATGCACTCCTGAAAGCAGCTCAAAAGTACCTGTGATGCGGCAAAGACATCAGAGCTATGGGAGGCACTGAATCTGGCCTAACAGCAGCTATTGTTAGAAACAGTTGAAGAGATGAACGGTTCACAATCCAGCCGCAAAGAGTGGAATCTCCTTTGACAGCTTGGCACCAGCATACTAGCTATAAAAAGGCATTGCAAGGCAATGCTAATAACATTGACTCTCACCACCTCGCCTTCACAAAAGCCACAATAAACACAGCACAAACAAGATGAACACAAAGATCTCACCATAACCAGAAAGAGCCTACCAACAAGCTCCAGATTCTCTGGTCCGTACTTGAGGGAAGAGTCTTGATTTGAAGCTTTCGTGACTGCAGGACTCCATACTCTCTGGTTCTTTCAGTAAAGTCAAGTAGATAGAAAAAAATATTAAAGAAAACACGAAGTTTCTGTTGCAACTCAAGCGTCTGTCTTCAGGTGAAAACCTTCAGCTGCTAAACCACTCAGATTGTACGGCCTTCCAAAAATCCATAAAGAGGGTACTCCACTCCGTCATATCGTATCCACCATTAACTCACCCACTTGACTGCCACGATTTCTTTCTGAGACTCTGCTTCCCTTCACGGGCAAGACCGCCTCAGCTGTATTTAATTCGGCCCACTTACTTTCACGAATCAAGGACATATCACTGTCCCCGGAGGATTTGCTTGTCAGTTTAGATGTAGTCTCCCTCTTCACCAAGGTACCCGTACCTTATACTATTGCAATCATTGAAGACCTAGTCCAACAGGGATTGGATCCTGATGTACCTTCGTTGGTAAGGCACTGCCTTACCAACACTTACTTCACCTGGAATGGTAGTTTCTACAACCAGAATGAAGGAACCCCAATGGGCTCTCCCCGATCACCAGTGGTAGCAAACATTTTCACGGATAAATTTGAGACAGACGCCATCCCGACATCCAACCGACATCCTTCCTTGTGGAAGAGATATGTAGATGACACGTTCGTCATCTGGACACATGGCCGGATGGCACTATACCAATCTCTCAACCACATCAATTCCATAGACCCATCTATCAAATTCACCATGGAAGTGGAAAATGATGGCAAGTTACGATTCCTGGATGTTTTGATCGAGAAGAGATGGCTCATTGGGACACTCTGCCTATAGGAAAGCTACCCATACGGATTCCTATCTAAAGCCTGACCCCCACCACCATCCAGAACAATAATTCCCTCATCAAAATACTACACCATAGGGAACGTTGCATCTCCAACCAGCACCACCTAGCCAGTGAGCTTGAGCATGTACGCCAGGCTCTCAGGAGGAATGGATATTCTGACTGCACAATCCGCAAAGCTGCGTCCCCAACCATGGGTAGAGAACCATCTGAGGACCCAATCAAAGCCATCACCTTACCATACATAGCAGGGGTTACCAAAACGATTGCTAAAATCTAGAACAAATACAAGATCCAAGTTCGGTGCAATACAGTACACAAAATCCGTGATTTGATCCCATCGGTGAAGGATGCAATTCCGGACATGCAATGTCCTGGTGTCTATAAGCTGAGTTGTGTCTGTGGCAGCAGTTACATTGTTGAAACGAAGTGACGTGTCTCAGACCGGGTTCGCGAACACAAAGCGGATTTGAAACACGGCAGAACCAACACTTCGGTGGTGGCGGATCATTGTTTCAATGCTGTGGGCAAACATGACATTGTTTTCTCCGAGACCAAGGTGCTCTGCAAATCCTTGGGCCACCATCAGAGATTTCTTCATGAAGCCATCCAGATATACAAACACAGACAAAACTTTAATCGAGAAGATGGATTCAGATTGAGCAATTATTGGAAGGATGTGCGATAATTTTCACTCACCCACCCGTGTATCTTGTTGTCCGATTACTTATTCAAGTCATTTTACTTGCTAATTTATCCAGCCCCACCCTTCCCTGCATGCCACAAACCTTCCCCCCTCCCCCCCCCTGTGCCAGCCCTCACCCTTCTCTGGACACCACAAACCGTCTCCCCCGTGAACTCCTACAGAAACGACTCGACACTCCTTCCCCCCACCCCACCCCTCAAGTGCCTATATAAAGCCACAACAGCAGATATTTTTTTTTCTTACCTGAAGACGGACGCTTGTGTTGCGACCGAGACGTCATGTTTTATTTTATTATTTTTATATCTATGTGACTTTACCGAAAGAACCAGATAGTATTGAGGGAAGAGATTATTTATCCATGACGAATCACCATAGCCTGAAATGCCACAAACATCATTTATCCAGAATTCCTCAACAACTTGGGACTGCTTGGCTAAAATTGGCTAGCGGCCTTATTTTGCTACTGTTCATGTTTTGCCCAGCAAAACCAGAAGATCAGAGTTCAAGTTAAAGGTAATCGAGGGCATACTTATTGATGGCGTGCACACTGCTCGCACACATCATGCAATACCTGCCCATCAAACAAGCCAGCTTTGATCTGCCAGAAGCTACTGTGACCATTTAGTTTTCTCTCACGAGCCACATCGAAGCTGGATTCCAGCAAAAGCACGTAACCAAAGTACCGGGTTGATAGACCTCTCATCCACCTATAGCACTGTTTAGATACAAGGGCTCCTTCTCAATGCAGCGTGCATCATCAAGTACCACTCAGCACTAAATATGTTAAAACTCGATGCTCATTTACAGCAATACAAGCCATGCAAAACTCGTCAACGGCGACATATCACAAGGATCAGTACAGGCTCTGATCATGTTAAACATCTTCACCAGGGACCTGCAAAGAAATCAACCTGCAAACGTATCTATGAGGACGAAATAGCAATGGCTACTGAGGCAAGACACCTGAATTCCATTGACCAACACACTAATGGAAAACCTATCTGTATTAGAAGACTACTTCTGAAGGCAAAGAGTACAGCGACATATATCCAAAACTCGTATCAATCTATCCTCTAAATAACCACAACATAAAAATACAGTTGAACGTGACTTTCTCTGGTAATCATGCCAAAAAACAAGCCATACCCTACATACTTGAATTAACAATAGACGGATGCTACATATTCAAAAAGGTGTACAATACAACGAAGAGCAGAGCGTCTCTGATTCAAAATCTGTCTGCCACAAGATGGGGATACCACCACCCAAACTCTACGTATGGCAGACTTCGCACTTGTATTCTGCAATTCTGAGCATTGTGCACCAGTCTGGGCATCGAGTGCCCACATTAATAAAGTGTACATCCAGATTAATAGCATCATTTACAATAATGGGCGAATTGACATTCACTCCTACTTAGTAGCTACCCATTCTGACCAACCTTATGCCAACAAGCTTCTAGTGGGATGCCACGTCATGAAACCGAATAGAAAAAATCCGAGGTAGCATAAACCTCCCATTGCACCAAGATCCGCTTGACACTACACGAACTCGTCTGAGAGGCGGGGTCAACTGAATACCACTGTTGAAGACTTTGGAGGTCTGCTGAAGGGTTCTCATAAAATCCTCATTGAGGGTCCCACCAATGCGCCAAACGGCTTTGTTCTGCCAGGAAAACTGTGGTGGCGCGATCAACTGCTTCAGAACAATGACTGGTAGCTGTGCACACCCCTTCCTCAAGTGGGAACTTAAAGATGACCCACTGTGCAGTGATTGCAGCCACCGAAATCAAAAACACATCGCTAACAATTGCATTATATGCCCGTTCTCCAGCGTACAGGATAATATTAGTCGAGCTCCTCCCAAAGCTATTTATTAACTAAAACCTGGATGTATAAATTACACTTGATTTTCAAGATGAAGACCATTCTTTCTACATTTTATCACCATATTAAACAACAAACCTGAGCAAGTTACGTATTCAATCCTGGGGTACAGCAGAACGAGATAAGATAGAGACAACCGCGTATTGAAATCGTTAAAAAAATCCATGCATATATTCATGACATTCCTTCCTTGTTATTGTTTTATTTAAATTATTATAGCATTAAGTGAATTTTTCTTCGTAACATTGCTGACGAGGCTGAAACTATCAACTCATTACGCTCATTACACGTGAAACCCCGGAAATTAAAGGTGCCCACTGCCTCAGTGCTCTAAGCTTTGAGCTACCAAGTCACCTCAACAGCCAAGTGAAGTCTCTAATTGACATTTGTTCGCTCATCCATGTGCTCCTCTTCCTATCATTGTTATTCCAAGCGGGAACCTTTACATGTTTTGTACACTTTTCAGTTTTGTTAAACTTAGTTTATTACTAGTTTTTCGTTCGCATTCAAATGTCATGGCAGGTAGGAGACACTGATTAAAATCATTCTGAGGCACGTGGACATGTTGATTTATATGACCAAGTTCAGATTTGCAACAGCTTTCCAACTTGCTGTTGTCTGCCTCTTTATGTAATGATTTATACCCAGTTCTACCTTGAATAACTGTCCTAGGCACTCATATTCAGTTGTATTTTCAGACATATATCTATTTGTTTCTATAAATATGCTCTCCTTCTTTTGCACTGTACATAGCCAACCGTGTTAATTGACGGCGTGAGGAAGGGATAATAAACTAAACACAGAAAGCAGTTCTAAAAAATTAGTTTTTAATTTAACACACTTGTTCCTTTGACTTTAGGAACCGTAACTCATCAAGTTTGAGTGAGCGTTTTTCAATCCACTACTGGATGAGGGCCTCCCCATGCCTTGCAGATTGTGGGCATTATTGAGGCATACTTCACCATGCTTGTCAGTGTGGGTTGGAAAGGAGAACTCTCTACCACACTTTGCTATGGCGAGGGATTGAACTTCGACTTGCAGGTTCAAGGAACGCTGTGCAAAGCACTGCACCACCGTGCCACAAATGTCCGAATAAACAGAATATCAATTCCAAAATTGTAAAATCACACGCAATCTGCCAAATCTCGGTAGATCTCACAAGCTAAATAGTTATGGTAATGGAAAGTGCTTGGATGGGCAAGAATCACTATGCACAACAAGTTGTCATAGGCGGCTGCGAGGTTAAGTGGTGGCACATCTATGCTCCTTCCTATCACCAACCCGTAGTGACCAGCGGGGTCAAATAATCCCCATGGCTTGTACAGCTTGGTGAAGCCCTCATTCAGCATTGGACTGACAAAATAGCTGTGCGGGTACTACAGATATTGGTGGCCAGGCCTATCCCCTTCTGTCAACGATATGATCACCATGCACATCATCATTATCATCATCGTTTTCGTAATATGGATTACGTCTGTCACGCTTCCCATGCAGTACATCTGCGCTATTTTAGCCAAAAGAACCCGCAGTGGCCGCTGTCCCAATCTGAAAGTGGACAGTCTGTCAGTCGATTCATTCATATAATTTTGAAAATTTGGACTGTCATGCCGGAACATACCATCTGTTTTTTTTTAGAATGTAACAGGATATTTAACAGTGCTTATGTATATGGTAAATACATCTACAGTGGTACCTCGGTATACGTCCGCTTTGGCATACGTTGAATTTGATATACGTCGTGTTTTTACGAGACTTTTTTATTGGGATACGACGGGCTTGCTAGAACTTGCATGGGTCGGGATGAGTCACCGCGTATGCCCCGTTCACGACTGAAACAAAGCGAAAGGGGCGGGGTGGCGTGGGGGAGAGGGGCGGGGGGCGTGGGGGGCTGCCACCATGAAGGGTGGAGCCCCGGGTCGAGGCGCGCGTGACGTGCGGGGTTGAGGCACGCCACGTGACCAGCGCAGCTGGCAGCAGCGCGGTCACGTGGCTTCTGTATCCATTTTAGTAATAAGTAGTGTCTAAATTATTTTATACAACCCCATTAATGTATAATATTCCATATAAAATATAATTTCTTACACTCTGGAAGGGATCATTTCCTTTCCCTTTATTACTTATGGGAAAAATTCGTTTGGTATTCACGTCATTTTTGGTTTAAGTCCTACCTTCTGGAACGATTTAACGACGTATACCGAGGTACCACTGTATTAGTATTTACCAGGGTGGCTGATGTACTCGAGCCGTGAACTCCTGCAACAAGCAGAAAACCTGCTGCCGCTCAGCCATCTCACCTCCTCCTGAGATCACCTCTAGAAATTATTTCGATGAAAGAAATTCGGTCGTGAGCATGTAATTGTTTTCTTTCAGAAATTGCAGAATACGTTCGGCAAGTATGCGCAAGTGATCAAGACGAACACGGATGAGAACATCCAAGAAATACAGCAGAACCACGATGAGATGATGCAGAGTGAATCAAAGAAAAAATGCACCATCAGCTAAGCATGGTTGATGGATAGTTGTACTCAAGATGCGAGTATTGCTGCAGATCAATTGTGAAATATATATCAACACTATCATCCTTCATTATCCAATAATCATTATCAGTCATGATCAATCCTTGCTGGTTAATATTTATCCCATAATAAAGGTTTTTGGGTTAGATCGCGTTATTTATAAATGTGTCGTAACCCTCCACCACCCGACAGGGCCAATCAGCAAAAAAAGTGTCACGTTGACAAAAGACAAATAGTTCACTACTTTAGCCCACCGGTGTGTTGAAGAGTGAATCCATTATGGTGAATTGCCCGATGATGCTGGATGTAATTACCAGCGAAACGTCGTACTCAAACTGTAAATGTTGTGGATTCACTCTTCAACAGACCGGTGGGTTAAAGTAGCGAACTATTTGTCTTTTGTCAACGTGACACTTTTTTGCTGATTGGCCGTGTCGGGTGGTGGAGGGTTACGACACATTTATAAATAACGCGATCTAACCCAAAAACCTTTATTATGAATAATATTGGTCGCGAAAGCCTACGTGTTAAATATTTCTCCCAATTGCAAGGGATATTTGAATTGGTTCTGGGCCTTAATTGCACCAACCAGCACTCTCCAGTGTGGTGAAGTATAGTAAAATAACCCACATTACTAAGCCATGAGGAGCACTTCATCCAGTAGTGAAATGAAAACAGGCTGAAAATAATTTTAATTCATCATCATCAGCTATGATTAATCTACTGTTGAATGGAATTATCAACCTTCGGCATGTCCCATGGTCTTGTAATGTGACATTCCACCACGCTCCAGCACTACACTATCTTAACGCTCCATCTCTACAATACATGGTCTCTTGGGCATGTTCCTTCCTTTGGCTGCCTCTCCGTTGTTAGTCTCGATAACCAACCATCATCCCTTCAAGAAATGCGTCCTGCCGAAAGCCCATGTATTTGTATTTCTATTTTCAACAAAATAGCTAGATAAAAAAAAACGCGAGTGAAATTTTTCACAGTATATACAATACGAAAACTTATTTCTGGTACTAAAGATAATTACCAACGCGTTTCGAGAGAAGGTGTGCACCAGATTAATTGCTCCTGTGGCCAATGATGTCTTGGTCAGACGGGATTAAAGATTAGCATCAGACTAATAGAACATCAAAACATTTTAAATAATAACAAACACATTTCTTGGCAGTTACAGAACATTCTTGATAACAAGGACATTCAAATGAATGTTGATTTAAAGCTTTCGTGACTGCAGGGATCCATATTATTGGTTCTTTCGGTAAAGTCACGTAGAAGGGAAACAATAAAATTATAAAAATATAAATGTTTTATATTTGTAATGTTTTATATTTTATTATTTTATAGTTTCCCTTCTACGTGACTTTACCGAAAGAACCAAGACTATGACATTCAAATGAGTTTGATAATGTTGATGTTTAGTTTTTAATCAAATTATTACTGGGCAAGACTAATTAGATAATATATTGAAATTGAAAGAAATAAAACATATTTTAACCATTCTGACAGCTACACGCTCAGTGCTTATTGGAAGACTATTATCAAGTAACACTGTTTGATTGCATGCCTATTTAGGTCATTATATATTGATGAACTGTGACCCAACCAGTAATATGTATGGACTGTTTTCAGATTAACATGATTAATTATGAAATACATGATTTCATTAAACTCCCTCTGATCTTCCCCCACAATTAATGGGGGGGGGGGGACATTTCGATGTCACAGTGTCAGATGCACTACTTCCGGTTTAGTTTGAAGGCGTGAGGGTGCTCACACAGTGGGATTTTCTCCTGGCCCCGCACCCACCTATGGACGACCCTGCCCATAGGACGTCGATATGTTTGGATCCACATCCTGGCCGCAACAATCCTTTCTTTGTCTCTCTCACACGAAAGTGGTTCCCATTCAATGTATATCTTGAGCAAATTGACGTAGTGAATACGGTCATTCCGGCTTACCTGCACATCATAGTCGCCTTCCCAAATGTTTTTATAAATTAAATCAATACCTTTCCACGCATGTACAACTTTATCCATATCGTTGTCATAAAATGACAACTAATCTGCAGCTCAGAACCAAGCTCAATATCACTCAAAAGCCAAGGCAAAAGAGGTGTGGGGCCTTTAAGAAAGATGTGGATCATAAAGTGGTTGGGCCGTTTACAAATGTGGGCGTTTAATAAAGAGGTGGGCCTTTTAAAAAACGAGTGAAGCCTTCAAGAAATTCGTGGCAAGGTGGATAATTAGCTTACAGGATTGAAAGAGATGGTGACGGTTTGGGATGCCTACATCCAGCAGTATATTGATCTTGGCTGAATATGACTACATACTTATATTACATTTAATTGCATATATCCAATTATTGTTACAATTTCTTATACCTTATACTATGCAACATAATCTATAGCATTTAATATGCATTATATACTACTTAAACATTTTATTGCATTTGTACACATCAAGTACTATCTAAATCCAGCCAGGTACTATCTAAATCCAGGAAGACAAAGTGACCTGCTTTCTGGATTGCTATTCTAATTAGTTTGTTTGGCTGTGGAGATTTTTCTAACGACACAGATTGGGTCAGATCATTACGTAGCCTAATGCAAAATCAATTATGAATGTATTATTGGCCACACACATGTGTTAGCTCTCATTTAATGCAGGCAATGCCTCCATTGCAAGTGTTCCTCAGAGTTATGTTGTTTAAAATATTTGCTGACTTAGAGCTGATAATACGCTTGTTCTATTAAAATCAAATGAATTAAAGTAAGATTTGAAATAAATGTGGAATTCTTATTTGTACTCAATGCGTATCTCTATTATGTGATTGTTTTAAGGTGTTCGTTGAGTGATTAAAAAATTGCTTTTTCTATTATTTGGTTGTTACCTAATGTACTACATGTTCTTTGGTGAATGATTTTGGAGAATATGTGTGTAATTGCAGGATAAAGGTTTATGGGCCGATAATTAATTCCTGATTTGTCACCTTTATTGTATATTAAAGTCATTTTATAGAGCAATCCAGTGTGTTTATGTATTGCCTCATTATATTATATTCTGTTAAGTGATATTTTTGCCACATTCAAGATGATAAAAAGCATAGAATAAGGAGATGTTGGTATACAAAATGTACGCCTGGCAAAAGAGGTTAATAGCTCATCGAATTCCTCCTCCCCCAGTCTAAATGAAGTCTCATACTGAAACTTGTGGTAAAATATGCCAACATGTTTGCACATTTGATGCCAAGCTACAATCACCATCAGTAAATCATCCGGTAAAATCATCATCAGCATCATCATTGGCAAAATCAGCATCATCATCAGCAACATTATCTTCAGCATCATCACAAATGTGTACAAGTCCGAGTACAAATTGGCCTACTACTCCTGCTCTACCATCTTTCCCGCACCCAGATGCCTATGCTGGAGATTTTCAACTGTAATCAGATTTATTTTTTACTTGAACTGGAGGATAAATCTGATGAGCTATGAAGCTCTTTTTTTTTTACAGATGTCCAGTAGGACATAGCAACTGCCAAAGCCATCCATAGGGGGTGCCCGGTCCGGGGTAAATCCATACGTGCCTTCCCACCTCTCACCGACGCCTTCAAACTAAACCGGAAGTATTATCTCTAACACCGCGACGTCAAAGTGCGGGGGCCCCCTAAAGGGGGCGGCAACAAATTATTTAATGAAGGGCAGCCAACGACGGAGCGACTGGACGTCAAATGACGAGGATGTCCCCGCTTCAAGCTTTGCGGGCTCCGCGCTCCCTGCCGGTGGCAAGATGGCGCCCGTGAGTGCAGGCAGTGGCGATGGCGTTCCCTCCCTTTGCGAAATGGCGACCAAGTCACCTCATTCGGACAGCTCCACCGCTCCTTCCTTCGCCATCGAGGGGATGGACCAAATCTCAATGAGGATAGAGGGTGCCCCTTGGAGCAGGTCAGCAAGACAGCCTTGCGCGTCCCTGACGAGCTCCTCAACAGAAGGTGAGGGGTCCCACGCCCAGGCTGCGCCCACAATCTACACTCGGGTCTCGAATGCCCATCTAACCATGCTACGGCTGAACTAGACACGGTTCGCTATCCTGGTATGGAGCACAAGCTGGGTCGTGGACCGCATGCCTAGGGGGTTCTTCTCCCCAATGTGGATCTTCCAAAAAACAACACTTGAAGAAGAACCCCGAGTTCCTCACGGAGCTCTCATTATATGCTCCTAGGCTGGGGCTGGCCCCACCCTTAGCCCTGCCCACCTTCCAGGCTTCTCGAGCTCCTTCTTGATGTTACCGAGAGCCCCTCGGGACCACGTGAACACCCCTTGGCCCCCGTCCACCGTTAGCCCCCCTCCAGCCAGAATGTCATGCCCCAGAGTAACCCTGGCTCGCTTCCTCACTGGAGCCAGTATCGCACACTGCTCGCGGTGCCTCTGTGCTAACCAGCGCTCACCTAACTACCTCTAGGGTTGGTACTGCAGCCCGTAACCCGGGCTGCCCATAATGACAACATTACCGGCTGTGACTTCACAAGCCCAGGCACCATACAGTGATGAGTACAGTCACTACACGGGTATGGAGATACTCAAAAAACCCTGCCTCAATGAGACATCGCGTCTCAGAAAGAAAAACTCTCACTGTTGTCTGTGCTTATGCACCAAACATCAGTTCAGAGTATTCATCCTTCTTTGAAATGGTGGGTGCAGTGCTCCATAAAATTCCGCCTACTGACTCCATAGTCCTACTGGGTGACTTCAATGCTCACTTTGGGAAACGATGGAGATACATAGAGAGGCATGATTGAAATAAATGCCCTCTACCCCCCTGATCTGAACCCGAATGGCAAGATGTTATTGGAATTATGCACTAGTCATGGAATGTCAATAGCAACCCAGTGCAGAAATATTTCAACTTCCATCTCTGAGTAAAGTTATCCCACACTCCAGGGGAGGTCATGGACATTAAGTCCTCGTGGACGATGTTCAGAATATCGATTGTCGATTCAGCTACGAAATTCTGTGGCTTGAAGGCAGTTAATACCAGTCATTGCGGCAACCCTAAGACCCGCTAGTGGACACCAGTGGAGAGGGAAGCTGTCAAATTGAAGGAGGCTTTCCGAGCTATGCTCGGCATGGGAGAAGTTTCAAAGATCTTCTAGAAAACTATCTGCAGCCTTTAG